GAGCAGGCACTGGGCGCCCCCAGGCCCGGCGGGGTGGCCGCTCCCCGTGTGGCCTCTGGAGGTCCAGAGGGGCCTGGAGGGGTGGCCAGGACTCAAGGCGGCCAGCCCACAGGGACCAACTCTGGAGACATACCCGCCGCCGTTGACTGGTTTCTAATCCCAGGGCCTATCCCTCTTTTGTCATTTCTATATCTTGATTTAGAAAAAAACAGAAAACCAGAAAAAGGGGATGGGAATGGCAACAAATTAAAACCATCAAACCAATAGAAAGACCCTCACTTTCCTTGTGTGTTTGTGTGACGCGTGAGGAGGTCTCCTGTGGAGAGTGTCCCAGGCAGGCTGGCCCGGTCTGTCCCCCCAGGGTCGATGGGCCAAGACAAGTGCCTGAGCGACTCCCCACAGGCTCCCCTCCCCAGGGCCCTGCAGATCCTGTGCCCACTCCCCCCAGGGCTGAGGAAAGAAGTGGGGTACAGGGGTGCAGCCTGGGAGCCACAGGCCCACCAGCGAGCAAGCAAGCCAAGTGCAGTGGCCAGAGGACTGCGCTGTCTGTCTGGTTCTCCAGGGCTGCAGAGTCACAGGCGAGAGAGTGTGAGTGTGTGCGAGGGGGAGGACCCCTCACAGATGGCAGCTTGGGAAAGCCACCTGTCAGCCAAGGTGTGGGACACAAGATACGGGCAAGCAGGCAGGGCAGGTGACACCAGGCCTCGTGCAGCCGACCTCCAGGCCCTTCTGAGGGAGAGACAGGCTGCATGCAAGGTGAGATGCAGGGTCCTGCATGGCGCTCTGGGACAGGTGGGGGGGTCCTATATGCCCTCCACACTTGGAATCGCAGACCATCTCTCTGCTGGACGATTTTATTATTTCTATTGGCATCTACTCTATGGCGCTCCGTAAAGACCCCCAACGTGCGTGTGTGCGCCAGAGCATGCACACACAGTGTGACAGGTGGATTCCAGGGAGCAGATGCCAGGAGCCCGTTGGGGCTATGCTACCGGAGACACACACGGCCATAGAAATACCTTAGTGGCCGATGTTCACTCTGGGGTTAGCACTTTTGTGACCAAACCTTTTTCCAGATGTCCCCA